TTATTATTAGTTACAGTAACTAGTGTACAGTTATTATTATTATTATTGTTGTTACAATAGCTAATGTACAGTTATTATTATTATTAGTTACGGTAACTAGTGTACAGTTATTATTATTATTATTGTTACAATAGCTAATGTACAGTTGTTATTATTATTAGTTACAGTAACTAGTGTACAGTTATTATTATTATTATTATTGTTGTTACAATAGCTAATGTAGTTATTATTATTATTAGTTACAGTAACTAGTGTACAGTTATTATTATTGTTGTTACAATAGCTAATGTACAGTTATTATTATTAGTTACAGTAACTAGTGTAGTTATTGTTGTTACAATAGCTAATGTACAGTTATTATTATTATTATTAGTTACAGTAACTAGTGTACAGTTATTATTATTATTGTTACAATAGCTAATGTAGTTATTATTATTATTACAGTAACTATTGTACAGTTATTATTATTATTGTTGTTACAATAGCTAATGTAGTTATTATTATTAGTGACAATAACTAATGTACATTTCATTTAAATCATTCGTACTTTTGTTTCAAAATTGGACGCAGTCTTTTCCTCTCTCAGCCGAACATCTTCAAACTCCTGACTGGAGGAACTCGTGTCCTCGCCATAATCCTCCTCTTCACGTCTCCTCTCTGCCTCGCACGCCGAGGGTTCCTCACTTGAAAGGAAGTGGAGCTGATTTTAACACAAAACTGTGACAAAGCTAAGAATAACGAACATAAAACATTTGAGTATAAGCTGTAAGCATGTTACCTGCTGCAGGAACCTAACGCAGCAGCAGAGTCAGTTGTGGGCATGAAAGCTGAAGGGTGCCACGATGAGGAGCTTGATGAGGAGGTAATGGAGGAAGAGGAGATGTGACAGGAAGTGGGGGAGCTGGCAGCAGCTCCTCTGCAGCTGGACTTCTTGGAAAGAAAAGCCAAGGGGCTCGAAAGGAAGCAAGAGGCAAGAGCTGAGAGGGAAGAGCTGGGGGAATGTGCATGAGTAGGAGACAGGTGTAGGGCAGCGGGGACAGATCTTGTGGACGGGTACACCTCCTTCCGAAGACAGAGAGGGGCGATCTCCCTCTCCACCTCCACGCTGCAGACCGTGTGCCTTCGAGCTCGCCTCACAGATTTGCGAGAGACAAAATGGCTGTGGCGGTTCAAAGCTGGCGTCCTGCTGTGATGCAAGGAGTGCGGAGACGTCCAGGCCGAGTCGCGGGGACAAAGGGACGGGATCTCTGGACAGGAGTAGCTGCGCAGCAGGCACATGGAAAAGCTGGTTTCTGAGGCGAGCGATGAAGCCAGGTCTGCGTCCTCCATGGTGACGGACTTTGAGCCCTCCTCATTTCGGTGCGTTCTACCCGGCGGCACCCTGCATCGTCTCCTGTGATTATCGTCTCTTGTTCGTCTACCGATGGGACCAAGTGGAGGACGGGTTCTGCTTTCAGAGTACGTGAGAAAAATCTCATCTGTGACCAGCACATCTTTGTTTAACTGGACATAACAGTCTAAATTAAGCTGGGGGTGGGATTGAACGGGTTTGGGATTACTTTCAAAATACGCAGGATCCATTTCGCCGTTCTGTTCCTCTGCGGTGTTTGAATGAAAGTTGCTGATTCGCTGTTGCGCCTCTGGAGTTCGGCTGAACCCCGAGCACGTCACGGCACTCCTAGGACTGGTTTTGGACCTCTTGGACGGTTGGCTCAGTCCTGCAGCTAAGCTGTCTGCTCTTTGTGCACCGTGAGAGGTGCACAAACCTTTAACGGGTTCTAGTTCAACTGGTGAGGTTGACGCCGCAGGGCTCTCGGGCAATGGACTCAAACGATGCGTCGTTTTTCGTTTTAACGGCATCTTGTTGGTGCTGATGCGCCTGCCTGCGGACTGGGGTCGCTTCCTGTCAGGACAGACGAGAACTACGGACAACTGCTGCTCCTCAGTTTGTTTCGTCGAGGCTATTGGCGGAGAAGTTTCCACATCCATGCAGTTATCATTGATTACTCCGTGTTTCATTAGAGTTCTTCTCGTCTTCGCCCGGCTGCCCTGTGGGTTGTCGTGTGGCTCACGGCTGCTTTTATCCAGCGAACAAATCGACACAGCTTCGGAGGAACTTTCAATATGAGACATAATCGCAGATTCTTCTCCGTTTTTTCCTTTTCGTTTTGCTTTTGTCAGCATAACCGGCCTTCTGCTGTCAAGCTTTGCCGTTTCCTCCTCGGGCGTAATGTTCATCAGTGCTGCTCCCCTTCTTGATGTCCTTGCACCCTTTATGTGACAAGCAACATGTGATAGCGGTTGACTTCTTGTATCAGCCGTCGTCTTTTTCCTCTTTACGGAGTCTTTAAAATGACAGTTCGGTTTCAACCCCCTCTTCGGCCGCACCACGTCCGAGACTGAACACATCTCGGAGTTTGGTTGGGTCTCCATCTGCTGAGCATCCAGGAAGGACTTCGGTGAGGTTTTGGTCGTCCCGTCAATCACAACGTTATGGAGACTTTGCGGAGCTAAGCAGCAACTTTCTACACCATCAGCCTGAAGGAAACAGGACGGTGTACTGTTCCCGTCTCTTGAGTCACTGTCATTTAGTTGAAACTGTTGATTTTTGTCTTCTGAGATCTTTGACTCGGATTCGTTTCCAACTTGTCTGCACAGCGGCGTCAGGCAGGTGGACGGCTGGTCTTTCTGCTCCTCGTCAACGCCGGACAATTTTAAATCGGTCTCTTGTGAGGCACTTGCTTTGGCCGAAGACTGCAACAGAACGGAGGACTCAGAAGATTCGGAAACGACGCAGGCTGGAGGATTCTGCAGCCGCGGCGCTGAATCCTTCTGGTTTATGGTTCGATCAGAGCTGCACGACGATGGCGGATCAAACTGCAGATTCGTCAAATAACAGGGAGCGACAGTTTCAGCACTTTGTGTTTCTCTGAAGTCACTAAGGCTTTGCCGATTAGTTTTATCGTCCTGATTGTTTTCGTTTAGTCCTTCTGAATAAAACATGTCGCTTTCTTCTGGAGGTTCAGCATCACAGAGGGCGTTCAAACGGTCCGTGAACGGTGGAGGACTGCTGGCTCTGAAGAGTTTAACAGGAGACATGACGATCTCTGTGAAACTGGCCATCTTTGACTTCAGTGACTGAAACAACGGGCCGATGACCCATCCCTTCGCGGCAGAAGAACTTTCCATAACGTCCACATCAGGCAATTCGCACGTTTCCACGTCAGGCGTAGCTCCACCAAGAGTCTCCATTTCATCTTCCAAAGGTTTGACTACATCGTAACCAGCAGATAAAATGGTTTCAGACTGCAGGCTTTCTGGGTCCTTTTGTCTAGAAAATTAAAATAAAGAAAAGAAAAAGAAAAATCGACATTTATTCATTTATTTACAACTTAAATTCCGAAACATTTGAAAAGTTTTAAACAAGTGAATAAACACACAATGCAATGATTAACTAATCTTGTAAACTTGTATTTTACTCACAGTTAAACGTGATAAACAGCAAACGTTTCAACAAAAAACAGCTAAATTTAAATAACTTTGGATTTGATGGCAGCAAAACATCTCAAAGTTTAAACGGGGTCCACAAAAAAGAAACAGCTGGAGGAGCGTTTAGCAGCTAATTATCATGTCAGCAGGTTTAAATAGTTTTAGAGGCTGAATCTCTGAGACGTAAAGTTGGGCAGAGGTTCACTCGTCTGAACAACTGGAACAATTTCAAAACACTGTTCAACTGAAAATTAAGAAGACTCTGAACATCGTACAGTTTATAAAATTATCAAAAGATTTAAATCTCTGAGCTGAAAGCACGAAGTCGAACGTCAGTATTGGATGGTCCTGATCTTCGGGCCCTCAGGGGCCACTGCATTAAAACCAGGTCTGGTTCTGTTCTGGGCTCAGGAACACTTCCACAGACAGTTCATCCACTAAAGCTGCTTAAAGCTCTATCAGACAAAGAAGCCAGATGTGAACACCACCCAGAAACTCTGGACCAGAGCTCGTTTCAAAGTTGTGTTCTGGACTGAGACAAAGTCCAGAACTGTTCTGCGGTCAGACGGATTGAAACATTGACATTAATTTTGGAAACCATGAACGCCATCAGCGCACAGTTGAAAAATATCCTGCCTCTCTGATGGTATGGAGGTGCATTTGTGCCTCTGGCATAAACAGCTTACACATCTGGAAAGACACCATTAATGTAGAAAAGTATATCCAGGTTTTAGAACTTCTGCTCCATCCAGGGTTGCTGAACAGCCAGAATCCTCCATCAGACCAGAACAGGACAACGTTCTTTTCAAAACCTCCAGCAGACGGTCTCCTCGGGTCCTGGACCTTTAAAAGACTTGTTACAGGAAGAGGGCACGTTTCACAGGAGAAACATGGACTGGAACAACTGTGAGGTGTGACGCTGCCAGCAAATTCAACTTACGCTTTTATTTTTTTATTTCTTAGTTTAAGAACTTGATATGTTTATTACGATCCATTCTGAATAAAATATTTGACTTTCCCATCTTCAGTTAAAATTTTGCACAACACCAGAACCTTTTCAGAATTAGGGTTGTAGTAAATGTAAAATAAAAAGCTTCTGGTACACGTACTTATAGACTAAACAACAGGTTTTCATACAAAGGCTGAAAAAGGTTAAGCAGACTTACTCATTGTGGTGCTCTGCAGTTAAACTGACTTCAAATCCATTCTGAAAATAAAAACACAAAGTTTTACTAAAGTTTCTTTAATTTAGTGGATCCAACGAACCAGGCCAACAACTTTTCAATCAACCAATCAATCAATCAATCAATCAAGATGGCTGCAGCTGCATTGCCTCCCAGCAGTCTGGTTTCCTATTTTTCTTGCATTTCTTTGACTCTTCACCGAACGAACAGAAGAAGTTGTGATTCCAGGACCTTATTGGAACTACACGCATTCAGTGGCCGTGGACCAGTAAACGTAGTTACGACTGAGCGTCTACGAGATCTCGGCATACTACGCGAGGAAGTCCCGGGCGCCCACAGAGCAGAGGAGTTATACGCCAGCGCGAGCCGACTCGAGGTAAAACGAAGGCGATGTGACTGAAAGCAGAAACGTGGCGGCCAGAGAGGCTCAAAAGCTAAACTGAGAGCCAGCCCATGGAGGACACCGCTTCCATCTCTGCTCGCTGGGAAAAAAAAAAAAATCCTCAACTCGTGCTAGCAAAAAGGAGAGGTAAACTTGTGCTCCAATTCTGGTGGAAACGTGGTTAACCACATCCGTCCCCGACGCGGCTATTAGCCTGGAGGGGCTAACAGCTCTCCGGCTGGACACGGACTGTGAGCCGACAGGAAGAACTCAGGGTGGCGGTGTACGCATCTACGTCAGGGGTCGGCAGCCCCTTTCATCCCTCTGCTGCGGCCCCCTGTGATATTGGAAAATAAATCATGAGTATTTAATTTATATATATTTTTGTTTTAGTTTGTTTTTTAAATGTAATTCTAAATGTGAAGACAATGTTCTTGTAACATTAAAATAAAAAGTTCTTAATTTTTGTCTAACGAAACATGCGTCACAAGTGCCGATGTGTGATGAGGTGGACGGAGCATGTTATGACCTCCCTCTGCGTAACAGTCCGGTGGATGTCAGAGAGGAGGCGCACGGTGAATGAGCAGAGCAGCTTGCCCCTGTGCTGACAGACATTTTTAACAACTCCCTGAAGCCATCGTTCCCTCCTGCTTCAAGGCAGCCAGTCATACCAGTGCCTAAAAAACAAACGTTAACCAGTCTAAATGACTATCGCCCCGTGGCTCTTCCGCCCGTCACGATGAAGTGCTTCAAACTTGTTGTTAAGCAACACATCACTTCTAACCTTACTCCCTCCTTTGATCCATTCTAGTTTGCATACCGCTCAGAGGATGCCATCGCCTCAGCACTCCACCCGAGCCTGCAACACCTGGAGGAGAACACCACCCATGTACGAATGTTGTCTGTGGACTTCAGCTCAGCATTCAACACGATCCTCCCACAGCACCTGGTCAGCAAACTGGCTACACTACATTTAAACACCACCTTCTGCAACTGGATCCTTGACTTCCTCTCTGGCAGACCAGTCCGTATGAGTGGAGAGGAACACCATTATCAGTTTGAGCACGGGCATCCCCCAGGGCAGTGTTCCGAGTTCACTTCTCTTTACTCCGATGACCTACGACTGCATTTCTACGTCTGAGACCAACCGCATCATCAAGTATGCGGACGATACCACGGTCGTGGGCCTGATTAGCAACAAGGATCAGGCATATTTAGAAGAGGTGGCACACCTTGTGAACTGGTGCGGAGAAAAGAACCTGGTTCTGAATGTCAGCAAAACAAAAGAGCTCATTGACTTCAGGAAAACATCACACACTGACGCCGCTGCGCATAAATAACCCAGAGGTGGAGGTGGTGGAGAGCACCAGGTTCCTGGGGGTGCATGTAAACAATCAGCTGTCTTGGTCAAGAAACACCGGGTCCCTAGTGAAGAAAGCCCAGCGGTGTCTGCACTTCCTCCGTGGTAGAGCTGCGCGATATGGACCACAATTAATATCTCAATATTTTTAAAATGAATGGTGATATACGATATTTATCTAAATTTTTTCCCATAGAGTAACAAAAATGTATTTCAGAGTCAATTGTCACACAGGCACATTTATTAACAAACGTAACTGCACAAAATTAATGTCTCAAAAATAAAATAAAACACAGCTGTGCACTTAAAATTTAAACAGAACACATGATTACAAATGTAAACATAATGAAAGGCTGACTTGCTCTTTAAAAAGTCTGATTCTAATGAAGTTGAGTCATTCAAAGCTGTTAGAAAGCCCACGTGTAGTAGGTTTGTTTACCGAGCTTGGTTCTGTTTGGTTATGGGTTGTTTCTTTCTGAATTCATGGTTCCAATGCTCTTGAATGCACCATGGGTGTTCCGACGCTACTGAACGCACCGCTCTGTGTAAGTGTCCCGACCCGGACGAAGCCTTGACGTTCGAACTTGGTTGCACTTTACTGGTTACTGCTGCGTGTAAATACCAGAAGAAACAAATAAATCACCCTAATCTGTCTCCGTGTTCTTTAATACACCTTCATACGGTGCCGCTCTAAACCAGTTAATTTCCGGGAGAACACCAAACCTCTCCTTTGTAGCAGCTACCCAGTCATTTTAACACCTATTTACATGCATGTCACCAGAGTGTCTCCACTGTGAGTCGACAAAAACATATTGTGGCGATCGATATCTGCATAATATGCATCTAGCTTGTTCACAGTGGGAGCTGCAGCAGCGCACAGTTTTGCACAGCAGGAGGCGGGGGCAGCTGGGAGGTGCTGGGATTGTATTCAGTGAGGGAGAGGAGGAGGGACCGCATGAAGGCGCAGACAGAGAAAAGCTGGTGGATTTTCAAGTATAATTATAACTATATGATACGCAAGACTATATTGTTTAATATAGTCTCAATTTATATCACGTATGAAATTATCTTGATATTTTAAAAATAAGATATCGCCCAGCCCTACTCCATAAGCAGAAGAGAGCACACCTCCCACCACACACACAGCCACAAACATAACTCAAAAAAAAAAAACTTACCCAAAATAAGCAACATATGGGAATTCACTCAGAGATGGATGCTGTGTGTATTGTGTATGTTTACATATGTGTAAATATCTGTACATGCATGTATAAATGTATCATACGTCTAGGTGTATATAGGAACATTCGCTAACATTTGCACATTACAGTACTTGTATCCGTACAAGAATTGAATCTTCTGTTCTAAACACCAAAGTTTTGCATGGTGCACTGTACAATTTTGAACGACATTAAAGTTTATAAAGTTAAAGTTTTTAACGTTTATGGCTCAACTCTCCCTCCCCTGCTTCATACAAAAAAAAAAAAAAAGAAGTAGTGTGGAACTTCCTCTATAAGGAAATAACAAAAATCATTTTATTAAAATAAATAGAATAAAAAATGTTTGCGTCTGTAACGTCTGCAGCGTGTTAGTAGGTCAAACTTGGCGCTCGGCTGCTTGTTTGCATCAGATGCAGCAGACCGTAAAAGAGGATTAGATCACTCAATTAACCTTCACACCTCTTTATCTGAACACAAACAAACTACGTAAACTCTGTACAGTCAAATTATGCAGAGAATACTTTGAGCGCTGCAGAGGAGGATGCTGTAAGGAGCATAAAGGTTTTGGAAGGAAAACAGACCTGGTTTTGTTTCTCCGGTACTTGTGTTGTGTCGGCTCTCGGCAGCTGAGACCGGGGCACTCGCACCTGGAGAGGAGAGGATAGTTTACCAGAGACTCCATCTGTGACGGTCAGCTTCTGGACATGTCCATAACTTTAAAGTTCATACCACGATTACCCTGTCCAGGTGTCTTTTCGTGGGGGACGGATTCGGTCTGGATGGTTTCCGGTCAGCTCGGCCGTCTGAGCCGTCCCGCTTTTTGGGGATTCTCGCTCTGATCCCTTGAATGCGACCGCTCCTCCTTTTTCTAGACTGTCCATTATCTGCAGAGCTGCAAATAAAAAAGTAAAACAGATAATAAAAAAAAAACAATTCAGTAAATCTACAGAGTAACAAAGAGGGGACAACTTCTGGGGAATGAAAACTCGGTCTCTAAAACCAAAAGATAAAATCATTTTCAAAGCTTAAATAAAAGATAAATTACTCTAAATGTCATTATTTCAATTTAAACACTTCTCTTACAAAATATAACGCTGAATAAAGAAAGCAGACTTCAGCTTAGGAAGAAACACTGACAGTTATTGCCGTTATCTTTTGGAGCAAACCCAATTCAAGATGGCTGCCACACCAGCAACAAGAACAGCTTTAAGGCAATCAGTTTAACAGATACTGAGCTAAAATTTGGTGTGGTAGTAGCTGAGAGTCATCCCTCAAACACACTCAAAGTCCTAACAGATGGCACGAGACGTTCGCTTAAAAGTTCGGCTCACAAGGAAAAAAGCAGTTTGAAATGACCTGAAAGTTTCGACAAGTTATTTCAGACGAACCGATGAATTATTTACTGAACCGAACCAGCAGCAACAAAACAAAGACTGAATTAAAAACATCTCGAGACCGTCACAGATGTACAGAGTGAGGAGGGACGAATACGTGCATTGTAAAAGGAAACAAAAAAGGTGCCACAACAAGAAGTATACCTGAGGGTGACGGAGGAGAAGGAGAGGAGAGGTGAAGGAGGCTCGCTGAGGGGAGGTGCACTACAGACGGGGTTTGAGGGAAGAGCAGCTTCATCCATCGGTCAAACTATCAGAGAGATCAGAGTCAACGTCTGTACTGCCACACACCTCATCCTCACGCTAAACAACAACAACAACAACAACAAACAGGACGTGGGATAAATCAATTCAACAAACATCTGAACAATAAATATCACTCACTTCACTCAGGGGCGGGAGTAGACTCTGAAATAAATATAGAACTTCATTTAGGTAAAATGTCTTGTTTTATCTGAAGTGATTCATTTTTCCTAAAAACGGTTTTGTTTAATACAGAAAGCTGAAACTTGGAACTGTTTTCCGAAGAACAAAGGACTCTGGTGACATCGGCAGATGAAACCAGCTTAAAGTAACAAGAACTAAGTAAAAGTAGCAAAAGGATAGTTAAAAGCTAAATGGAGCAAAAGACTCAGTAGAAAGTAGTACGGTAGTTATAAGCTAAAAGAACAAAAAGGCTAGCGAAAAGCTAAATTGAGCAAACTGCCAACTTTGCAAACAGCAAATAAAGAAGCTAAGAGTAGCAAAAGACTCACTGAAAAGGGAATGGGGCTAGCTAAAAGCTAAAAGTAACTAAAGTAACTAAAAGCTAAAAGTAACAAAAGGTTAACTAAAAGCTAAAAGTAACTAAAGGCTAACTAAAAGCTAAACATAAAAAGGTAAACTAAAAGCTAAACCTAGCAAAAGGTTAAGTAAAAGCTAAAAAATAAATTAAATTTTCAATTCAGTTTATTTTAAAAGTAACTAAAAGCTATTTAAAAGCTAAACGTAACACAATGAAAACTAAATCATAAAAGTAACAACAGTTTAAGTAAAAGCTAAAAGTAACTAAAGGCTAACTAAAGTCTAAAAGTAACAACAGGCTAACTAAAAGCTAAACCTAGCAAAAGGTTAAGTAAAAGCTAAAAATTCAATTTAATTTTCAATTCAGTTCAGTCCAATTCAATTCAGTTTATTTTAAAAGCACCTAAAAGCTAATTAAAAGCTAAACGTAACGAAATGTCAACTAAATGATACAAGTAACAAAAGGCTAAGTGAAAGACAAAAGTAGAAAAATATCAACTAAAAGATAAAAAGAAACAATAGGCTAACTAAAGCTAAAGTTAGCAAAAAGCTAAATGTAACAAAAGGCTAGCCAAAACCTAAAAGTAGCAAAAGGATAGCAAAAGCTAAAACAAACAAGAGATGAGTAAAAGCTAAAAGAAACAAAAAGCTAATTAAAAAGCTTCAAATAGCATAATGCTAGCTAACACTTAAAAGAAGTAAGATGTTAGATAAAAGTAAACATAACTTAAAAGTAACATATTTGTAGCTAAAAGCAAGAGAAGAGTAGCCAAGAGTGGCAGAAGACAAAAACAGCCAGCATTCTCAAACTGAATAAAGTTATTTTTTAAAGGACTGAAATAAATCTGAATATATTTCTATGGGGATAGTATTTGTAAATAAAGTTAAATATTTTGGAAAGTATAAAAGCTACAAAAACCAAAACCCATCTCCTGAATGGATAAAACTATTTTGAAATAAATTGCAAAACTTACAGAAAACTAAAATAAGCGGGGAATAGTGTAAATGTTGATTTGCCATTTACAAAAAAACACATAAAAAACTGTGCTGACAAACTAATTACAATAAAAATGAAGGATGGCTTCATAAAAAGTTATCAGGTTACAAGATAAAATTTAATCTTCGGGGGAGATTTTACTGTAATTTCAGATTCCTCTTTTCCAATTCTTCTCAACCGGGTTACCGAAAGTTGCTCAGCTCACATCTGACGAGTTTACTAAACTAACAAAATCGACTAATTTTAAACGGCTTATATTAATTTTAGCCAGTGTTTTCAGTCAAAAGCAGCGGCACGTTTATCAAATGAGCAGAGTCTACTTGCTGGACAGAACACTCCTTTATAAAACTTTAATTTACGAGTTAACATTAAATTATAACAACCCTACTTTAGTGTGTTTTAGATAGAATGGATTCCGTGAAGATGTAAACATTTTAACAGATCGTGGCAGAGCTTTCTTTTAAAACTCCATCTGCACTCGTGTAGTATGTAGCGCTTAAAGCGCCAGGTATTAGACGCAGCCGGGAACTGTCATTCCTCTAAACGCTCGGCGACGCTTAGAGAAAGCGGGAATATTCTACCTTTTTAACGTAGATAAACACAATAACTGCGACTGTATAACGCCGGGTACGCTCACCTGAAACGTTTAACTGGACCGTGGGTCACAGCGCCGAATCCGCCGTAAACAAAACATGCCAAACGGACGCCCTACAGCGAGTCGAAAATGTATCCGTTTTTACTAATTCAACGCCCAGGCAGGGCAGACCGACCAATCACAGCTCGAGTTGCCCGCTGGAAACGCCTTCTCAAAATCTGACCAATCAGGTGAGGTCTTTTAGGGTCGCTAGTGTAGGGCAGCCAATGGGAGCGCGACGGAAAAATATATGAAAGCTGTGTACGGTGCTCCACTTCATACCCAAGAGTAAATCAGCGTAGTAGCCCCTAATGAACAAGATACCAACAGGAAAACTCCTATATCTTCACTAGTTATTCTGTTAATTTGTAGTAAACATCATGACTAAAACATCGGTAAAGGACAAAAATCAAATGGTAAAATCAGCAACAGCTCAGAACAAGGTAATGTGCATGTTGCAAAATTTACTTTACTCATCTTTGCATGAGAACTAATTATATTTTTAAATTAATCTATTAAGGCTGCTCACATTATAATTTAGATTGTGGACTATGATAATCTATGACTAAATAAATAAATGCATATATGCTTTTTTTAAACTTAAAGCAACTTTGACACTGAAACATGTATTTGGGTGTGGAAAAAGTAGATACTTATTGTAATGTATAAACTAAAACTGCACAATTCTTTACTCATATTGATGGTTAATGTGTTCTGAGGTTTAAAATTTGTAAGTAAAATTTGTGAGTAGTTGCCAACTACCACAAAGTTTCGTTTACGTAGAAAAACAGCCCGTGACAGACAAAGCCAATTAATTGCAACATCCAACAAAGAGCTGTTTGGGATGGAGAAATCGGACACTTTTAACGTATAAATACATGTTCACGCTACGATTTGCACCTCAGGGCTTTGTTTATATTGAGCAAATACTGCGTTTCAAAAGAAACAATAAATTTTTTTCAAACTGCATTATTAGGTATAGCTCAGGATAACATTTTTATGTTTGTTTATTTGATTACAGGAAAAAAAGAAACCTCTCCACGTAAACTTTTTATTTAAAAACAGCGTGCAAAAAAAAAAAAAAAAACAGAGGCAGGGTTAAAATGATTCACACCAAAACCCTAAAGTAAACCCTGGAAAAGAAACAAATGTAGATAAAACATGAAAAAAAAATCATCCCAACGGCGGTTATTATTTTTGACGTTTTATACGTAGAGGTCAAAATCTATTCTTCTGGAGTTGTAGAACTGAGACCCTTCCTGGTCCACCCTCCTGCAGTAGACGCCGCTGCTGAAATAGCCTTCATCCACCCAGCCCTGGAAACACAAAAGTAAGAAGATTAAAGCCCACCGAGTCAGACCGGGGATCACGAGAGACCTGGTCAGCGCCATAATCTAGTAAACATTATGGGAAGGAGAAAATGGACAACTGGAGCTTATGAAGCCAGGAGTCAGCTTGACTCCGGCTCTGCATCATCTCTGCAGACATGGAGGTCACTTCCTGCAGCTTTTTCAAGCAGGAACCTCTGGGTGTTCACTAGCGAGCCGCAAGCCGCCAACACCTAACTCCAATATGGTGGCCCCGCTTCTTTATTCTAGACGGGGTATCCTGATTTTCTTCTTCAACAAGATCTGAGTTAGTCTGACTCCTCCACTGAAGCCGCTTTGCCACGACCAGGTGCTCACAGCCCAGTCGTCACACATCGTGATAGCAGGGACCACGAGGCAGACCCAGAACTTGCTGGAAGGATTATCTTTCTCTGGCCTGGGAACGCCTTGGGATACCCCCAGGAGGAGTTCAAGGGCGTCGCTGGAGGTCCCTCGTGGAAACCTGCATTTTACTTTTTTGTACTTTATCTCTTAATTTTATTTGTGTTGTGTTTGCTGTGTTATCATTTATGTTTCCAGACAAAGACGAAACTGGTTCTCTGCATTTAACCCATCGCACCTGGGATGCACCCAGGTGGGGCAGTGGGCAGCTATGTAGGCGCCCGGGAAGCAATTCGGGATTGGGTGTCCTGCTCAGACACCACGACATGTGCAATGACCGGGGACTGAACCCAGGACCTTTGGGTCCCGAGTCGGCTGCCCTGCCCCTACACCATATGTAGACACAACATCTGTTTTTGCTCCTCCGTTTAATCGTATAATCAGGCGTCTATAGATGGATGGATGGAGTATAAGGTTTTGAAAAGACTTATTTGTATTTTCAAGCAGACAGCGATCAAATAGAAAAGCAAAAACTGTTTCTGAGAACTGAATACTTCATGGAATTTTTTAATCCATTCCACAAAAAGCCCAAATCGTAATCCCGAACTAATAATTTTGGAACAGTTTCGCCGTTATGCACTTTTTAAAAGATGTAAACGATGTATTACCTGCATCTGTTGGCTGGTGAAGGGCCCATAGATTTCTGAATTATCCTTATTTTCCCATCTGTACTCCCACATCACTTCCTCACTCACTGACAAGATAAAATTAAATTAAGCAAACGAAATCTTGCTGTTTTAAATGTGTATCTGTATTAAACCGAGATTTAAAAAACCTTTATTATCTTCCTCCTCAGGGCCCTCGGATTTCTCGCTGATCTTCTCATCAAATTTATCCCCAAACATGTCGAGTTCGTCTCCTTCGTCGTCGTCACTGCCTTTTTTCTTCCCCACCGCCGGCTTCTTGCTGCTCAAGCTCTTCATCACGTAGGACAGTTTCTCATAGGTTTGCTGATAGATTTCAAACATCCCAGATCCGACCAGTCTGTCAGCTAAAGCTGTGAGCTTATCCAGCTTCTCGGCGTCCCTCGTCGTCTTCTCCGTGGGTTCGTTTTCTTCCCTCAGTTTGCTCTTCTTGCGTCCTCCGAGGCCTCCTAACCGACGCAGCGCTGCAGCGACCGTTTCTCCGGGCGTCAACAACTCGAGCACAGCCTCAACAAGCTGCTGCTGTGTGAAGGATGCCAAGGGGTCCTCTGCAGGAATCTCCTCCTCCTCCTCCTCTTCCTCTCCCCCCTGGTCCGCTTGCTGTTCTTCTCTCCGTTTTTCTTCCTCAGCCTCGTCTTCATCACCAGCTCTGCGCGTCCGTTTGGCTCCGAGGCCTTTCTTTTTCTTGACGGGCTGCTCTTTTATTTTCACCTGCGAGAAGAAATTGACATTTTCAGTTGCACTGCTTGGAAGACTTTCACAAAATCAACTGTTTTTTTTTACTTACCCAATCTATGTTGTCAAGCCAGTTGTCTCTAATTTGTGTTTCCTTTTTGACAAAATAGTTTCCCTCTGAATCAAAGTGTCCTTCTTGCATCTCTTCCTCCAGGTTAAAAGGAGTAATGGACACTCCTTCATCAAAGTCGATGGTCGCTCCTTCTTGGCCTGCATACACAATTTACTAAAAAATTTGTTTCAGGCCAAGCATAACCTTGCTCAATCCAAAGACATAATCAAAGAAAGTGTGGAAAACTTTAGCACCTGCACTGTTAAAAGATCTGACTAAACAGGAGAAAAACTTTTTAATTTTGACGTCGAGAGCATGTTTTCAAAATTTTGTGTAAAAAATGTTAAGAGAAAAAACAAAAGCAGATTAATTATCTGCTGATAATCCCGAAACATACCCTCCACATCATCACTGGCAAGAATATTGTATTTGCTGCTGTCTGTGACCTCCTCATCATCCTCTTCGTCGCTGTCAAGGGAATGTTTACCCTTAAATCTGGAGCCTGGTCCGGCGACAGCTTCACAACTCTTTGTTAAAAGAACAAACAAAAAGCAAATATTAATTAATAGCATCAACAGCAAACATACGTGGTATTGCATGAGGAAATCTGGAGTGGCAGAGAAGTATGTTAGACTGGTACAGGACATGTATGAGGACAGCAGGACAGTGGTGAGATGTGCTGTAGGAGTGACAAATAGCTTCAAAGTGGAGGTGGGAGTGCATCAAGGATCGGCTCTGAGCCCCTTCTTGTTTGCTCTGGTGATGGACCGACTAACAGATGAGGTCATGCAAGAATCCCCGTGTTTGCAGATGACATTGTGATCTGTGGTGAGAACAGGGAGCAGGCGGAAGAGAAATTGGAGAGGTGGAGGTATGCACTTGAAAGAAGAGGAATGAAAGTCAGCCGTAGTAAGACAGAGTCCATGTGTGTGAATGAGAGGGAGGAGGTGGAGCAGTGAGGCTTCAAGGAGCAGAGGTCACAAAGGTGCAGGACTTCAAGGACTTGGGGGAATGTGGTAAAGAAGTTAAAACGAGAGTCCAGGCAGGATGGAGAAAAGTTTCAGGATTTGTGACAAAAATGTGTCAGCAAAGGTCAAAGGAAAAGTTTATAAGACAGTGGTGAGACCAGCTATATTGTATGGTCTGGAGACAGAGACATGGACAAAAATACAGGAGACAGAACTGGAAGTGGCAGAAATGAAGACGCTAAGATTCTCCTTAGGAGTGACAAGGCTGGATAAGATTAGGAATGAGATCATCAGAGGTACAGCACAGGTTGAACAACTGGGAGATAAAGTTATAGACGGACTGAGATGGTTTGGACATGTCCAGAGGAGGAACAGTGGTTTGGACATGTCCAGAGGAGGGACCGTGGGTATATTGGTAGGATGTTTAAAATGCAGCTGCCAGGAAAAAGACAAAGAAGAGATATATGGGTGTAGTTAGAGAGGACATGGAGGTAGTTGGAGTGAGGACAGAGGATGCAGAGTGAGGAGGAGGATGACTCGCTGTGGCGACCCCTGAAGAGGGAAAAGCCAAAAGAAGAAGAACAGCAAACACAATCAAAATAAAAGTAGCTGTCAGCGATCAGGTATAATACATTTGTCTTATATTGTAAAGAAAAGTGCAACACAAGCGTTCAATTACTTTGTCGACTGTTTTGGGCTCTATTTCTTACAAAATGAAGCATTTTAAGGTTGTAGTCCTTTGAACTAACACTAGGCTGTGCTGTTATTACAGCTGTTGTGTACAAGATATTTACGACAGTATTCATGTCAAACATTGATAAAAAAGTTCCTCAGAGCTTCATTTTAGTCAGATTATGACCGTTAAATTAAGTTCATTTATACCACACCAGCTCTTAACAGGTCATTTCAGGACCTTCGTGTACAAAAAGGCAAACAGGTCCAATTCATATCCAATATTACAAGCAAATTATTTAGTTTATTTCAGGAGAGCAGCAGCACCTTTTTATTCGGGCCGTCGTCTTCCAGGTCAAACTCCCCGTTTCCGTCCTCAAATGTTACTTTTCTTTTCGACATGGCGCTGCAGGAGGCCACAAGGGGACGTTTTTACTCTCGTAACACAAGCGAAGGTAAGTTAGAAGTGTTGTGAAGTTATTTGATCACGCCACAGCCACAACGAAACTCATGTTAGCTGTGTTGCTACCGCGTTAGCTAACAATAACACCAGCGCGCAGAACGAGTCGCGCGTTCAACACGAATTTACAAATATCTTCAGGTTAAACGACGTTCAGCATCAAGGCATACTTTAAACAAACTATATTTTACGACGATTTACTTAAGCTAGGTTTGAGCACTAATAAAGGGCAACACAACGTGCTAAAAACCTGCTAAAAATAATTCAAGCTGCGTTTCTTTTCTTCTTCGGTGGTTTTATTTTAGCGCAGCACTCACTGATCGGCGCTAGAGCGCCACCAGGCGGCGGCATTTAGAAACACAGGAAGCAGTTCTCGTCCAGTTTTCTGCAAAATATGATTAAAAACTGCAACAAATTGGTATTTTTAGGACAAGGACAAAAAAAAAAAAAAAAAAGAGAGAGAGAGAAACAAATCAAGATATCACCTTGCCTTAATATTTTGTTAGTTTTCCAAATAGTTCTTTAAGTTTCCAGTCATTGAGTCTGATCTTTGTCTGAAATCCACTAGAAACTTAAATGTATAAAACACATTTTCAGCAAGTTGCTGTGGGGAATAAACATAAAAAAATGTTACAAGCAAATAAAATCAGGCATTCTTCATAAATATCGCAATTATTCCGAGAACACGGAGAGCTAGAAGTTAAAATTTGTCTTTCATTAAAAACCTGAAGGTGTCTGTATTTTAGAAAATTCTGAGTCACAATTAAATGGCTAACACTGTCTCAACTGTTATGTTTATTCAAATAATTTACTGGGATGCACATGCATGCTTCATGGTTTCAAAGGGTACTTAATATTTTCCACAAATATAATAAAGATCAGTCTCCATAATTCAGCGTTAGAGGATCGAAAGGAGGCACACAATGTTTTTTCCCGTCTTCACAGGAGTTTGTTCCTTTTTTCATGATAATTACAACTGAAATCTCACAGTGCTTGAGTATGTTTTTATGTTGCACTTTTTTTACAGATTATCTTTCCTGAATAGTCAGTATGTCGTGAGTTATGAAAGATGATGATTTTAACTATATAGTTGAAGCTTTATATTATATCAATTTAATGGCAGCGGCTTTAAACTGATGTGCTGTAAAGGCAATGGATTCAACTCTTTGAATACTTATTTAAAAATCTCTTCAGGTTTGTTAATGGAAGAATATGAACAATAAACACAACTTCTATCTACATTCAGGTCGGTGGATGTCTGCTGCTTTGGTTTGCATAAATGAATATTCATCAGGTCTGAACAGGACATCTCCCTGGAGCATCGTCCACCTCTGCATGCCTTCAAATGAAACTCCTATAAAGAAAAGTTGAAAGAAAAGCAGAAGTGAGAGAGCGGAGGCAGAGACACTTCAACATTTAACATTTCAGTTCCAGGTAACACTTCTTGTCACAGCTGTTTTTTTTACTCTGCGTGGTTCAACCCAGCATCTCAAGAGAGAATATAATGTGTCAGGATATTGTTACCAGGAAGTGGGTCGAGTTATTTATATTTCAGCACCCATCCTCCGGTTCCCGTGAGAGGAGTTGGTAACCTGAAGCTGAATAGTCCAACATTGTCTGGTTCTGGTTGAATCAAACCCGGTGGAAAACAACTGGCGAGCGACACGAAGCTAATGGAAACATGTTCCGCAAAGAGAAATGAAATTAAGTCTGCGAGGGACTCGGCTCAGAGGTAAGTCGAACAACGTTGTTTTTATTTGATTTAAATGTAAAAATCACTGAACAAGATTAAAAATAGTGGATTATGACTCAAAGGTTTAGACCGTTCATGTCTGAATGTGAAGAGAGTCATTTACTTTAGTTTATCTATATATAATGTATATTATACATATTTGTGTGTGTATTTTAAACAACTGAACAGGAGTAAAACATAAATTAACGCATTATTTAATGTGCTCCAATTAAAATAAAGTTAAAACTAAACATCACGAGTCAAACACAGAACAGTTCAAAAATTTTACTGAAGCATTAAAATAATTTAAATATAATGTAATGAATTGATTAGGAATCATTTATGTGACATCTTACGCTGAGAGTTAATATTATCAATGACTAAGCTACTACCACTACAAATTTCATCTCAATATTTGTCAAACTGTTTGAGCTATAGACATTTTTTTTTTTTTTAGATATTTTGCTGACAGATGAACAAAATGTAACTGTTTTATTCAGAAGTTGGGATGAAGCTCCATGAGAAGATTCTGACCCATTACCTGTCCTGCACCTCTCCAGTGGATAAAGAGGGATATCTCTACAAGAAGGTTTTCAAAACAACATAAATCCAAATCCCAGATTAGGTTTCTGATCACATCAGATTATTTAAAAGAGTTTCTTTTTTAATCCGACTTCCCAGAAAGAGCGGACTGGCACCTTCCAGCAGCGGTGGTTCGTCCTGAAGGCCAACCTGCTCTTCTACCAGGAGCGTCCGGCCGACCGGCACCTGCTGGGCGTCATTGTGCTGGAGGGCTGCACGGTCCAGCGCTCCGAGTCCCACCAACAGTTTGCCTTCGCTCTGGTCTTCGGACCTGGACTCAAAACCTACAGGTTCTTAGCAGCAGATCATCGCTCTCAGGAGAGCTGGGTGAAAGCGCTGTTCTCGGCCCGACACTGTTACCTCTCCCAGCTGGTGAGAGATCTGGGGAGGGAATACGAAGGTGAGTGAGGAAGATTGTCTTCCTGATGAAAGGCACTCGTTGCAAATTAAAACATAAACAGTGAGTTATCCCAAACTACATCAAAAAAGATCCTAGACTATATTAAATGTTATTTCGAACTCTATCGAAGGTTAGCCTGAATTCATTCAACTTTATTTAGACAGGTTAATCCCAACGTTAAATTAAATCCAAGAGTAGCATGAATTGTATCAAAGAATAAGCCAAACTCTATCAAAGGTTATCCCAGACTATAGTAATGATTATCCTGAACTACGCATATTAAAGATTATTCCAAACAAATGTTATTTTGATCTCTGTCAAACGTTAGTCTGAATTAAATCCAAGATTAACCTGAACTGTATCAAATGTTATACCAAACTATATTTAAGATTATTGTGAACTAAATCAAAGATTAGCCTGAATTATATCAAGGAATAAGCCAAGCTCTATCAAAAGGCGATAACGAACTACATCAAAAATGTATCCTAAATTATATTAAAGGTTAAAAAAAAAGGTTTGTAGGCTCAATCATCCAGGTAGATAACAAAAAAAAAAGGTTAAATCATGTCATCTGGACCAGTTTCTTTAAGGTAGGAACGTTCGGTCTTCCATCCAGAAGACTTCATCAGTCTGTGGCCTGCCAACCAGGTTACTTGAAAGGAATCAAATGTTTTCCTGAACTATCCCAATATCTGTCAAAGGTCACCTCAAATTATATCAAAGGTTCAAGGTTCTCCTGAACCATTTCAGATATTATTTTGAACTATACCAACAATTTTCCCAAACTATATCAAAGGTTATAACGAACTACATCAAAAGTTATCCTAAATTATATTAAATGTTACTTCAACAGAATCAGATGTTTTCCTGAAATGCATCAAAGGTAAATTTGAATTATACCAAAGGTTATCCCAAATTCTATCAAAGATTATACTAAGTTATATTATAGATAATGCTAAACTAGAGCAAAAGTTATCCTGAACTATATCAAAGATGAACCTGAATTAAATCAAACAGTGCAGTAGGAAATATTTTACCTTTGTAGTTTTCCAGATCTAGATCTAGATAAGCAATGCTGAAGTGCAGGACTGCAGGTACACACTCAATGTAAACAAAGTTCCACGTTAACAAACACTTGGTAGTTGGCAGCCATTTAGATTTTTAAGGACACGTAAGAGAAAAATTAAAATGTGGATTTAGTTTCTTACCTAAGGAATTATTTTTGACAGGCCTAACTGACTTTGCAGTGAGACCCTTTAGGGTTTATGTCAAACGTAGACAAAACATTCTCATTCTTGCCCTCGACATCCTCAAAAGAAAAAAAAATCCAACAGAAAACCAAAATGTAAAAATTTGAGAAAATACATTTCCTTCAAAAATGCAGTGTGCATGCTTACTGCTGAAGAACTTGGAGAAAAACAGCTGAAATTAGCTTAAAACAGCTGAAATTAGCAACAAACAAACAAAAGAAAAAGCAGAAAAGTAGCTGAAAAGGCAGAAAAAAAGCTTAAACTACCAGAAGGAAGTGAAGGGAGGTGAAATGAGCTCAGAAAATGTGGAATTTGCTGAAAAAGCTAAATTTAGCCCCAAAACAGCTTAAAGGTAGCTGAAATAGCAGAAAAAGCTGAAAAGGAGCAAAACAAGCTGAAATTAGCAGAAAGAAGTTAAACAGGCTGAAAGTAGCAAAATTAGCATGAAAAACTTGAATTTATCTGAAAACAGCTGAAATTAGCTTAAAAATTGCAACAACAAAAGTAGCCAAAAAAGGTAGAACAAGCTTAAATTACCAGAAGAAAGCAGAAAGAGCACATTTTTACTGAAAGAAGCAGAAATAAGCACAAAAAGTGGAAATTATCTGAAAAAAAGCTGAAATTAGAAACAAACAACAAAAAAACACTTAAGAAGTAGCTAAAACAGCAGAAAGAAGCTTAAATTACCAGAAAGAAGTCAAGAGAGCACATTTTTTCTGAATTAGGCTGAAAAAGTTTAAAAGCGTGCAAAAAAATTGGAATTAGAGGAAAAAGCTCAATTTAGCATAAAAGCAGATAAATAGTAGCTGAGATAGTAGAAAAAGTTGAAACTTGTAGAAATAAGCTGAAAGGAGCAGAACAAGCTGAAAGAAGTTAGAAGAAGCACAAAAATGTTGTAGTTAGCAGAAAAAAAAATGAAACGAGCACAAAACAGCTGAAAGTAGCTGAAAAAGTTTAAATTTGCACAAGGAAGCTGAAAGAAGAACAAAACGGGAAAGGAGCAGTAAAAGGTTGTAAACAGATTTAAAGATCTGATGTCAAATGAGCTCAGTTCATTTTTCTATGAGGAAAAAAAAAAGGCAGAAAAGGCTAAATATTTCAAAAAGCTAAAGTTGCACCAATGCCAGAAGTCATAGCTGGATTGTCCTGAAAGAGCCGAACGTTTTGATTTATGATTTGTTGAAAAAGTTGAAAACTGCAGGACGAGGAATGAGCCGAAAAATGGTGAATGCTTCATAAACATTCACACAATAATAAAAATCTTGAATAATTGTGTTTCTGTCGTCAGGACTGTTAGCTAAATGTTTAGCCTTTCGACACATTTCTCCATGGCTTGAAAACAAATATTAAAACTGTAAATTAATTTTCCCTCTCGTTCCTGCAGAAGCTAAACAACAAGGCTCCAGTGACCCCCCCTCCTCTGTGGGCCTCCTCAGTCTGTCCACAAACAGCCTCTGGGCTGCAGGAGGAACATCTGCTGCCGTCAGAGAAGGGAGAAGCTTCAGCGCCAGCTCGGTTCTTCAAGCTGCCTCAGTACCGACCAAAGTGGTGCCCAAACTGTGGCAGAGGAGGAACGCTTATGTCACACCGCTCAACGGACCGGCCCCTCTGTACGGAGAATGGCCTCTGGTGGGGTCCGATCCACTCGTGGAGTTCAGTAAACTTCATGACTTTTATGGTCAGGAGGTGAAGAAAGTGAGAGAGGAGTGGCTGAGGAGCCGACCGGCACCGGAGGACGGCGGCAGAGACCTCATCGACCTCGGCTGACTAAAGACTTTTTAAGGGAAATTGATGTGAATCAGAGAATATTTCTGTTCAAGTTTTATATCTTTTCATTTATTCACAGATGAGCTCGTTATTCTTTATAATCCCCGACAGCAGCAAACACCTGAGACCTGAAGCTGTATGTTCAGAGTGCAAATAAATAAAACCGGTTTGTTGACTCAAATCACTCTTTACCAATTAAATAATGAACAAAATGCTAAAAATCATGGTGCAAAATGTGGTTTTAATTTCAAACGTTAACTATTTTAATTGTAGGACGAAATAAAAATAATTAAAGCAGATTATACTGAAATGACTGGATCTGTTTGTTGAGGGGATTCAGTAAAGTTGTTTTTTTTACATCAGTTATCCAGAGTGCAACCAGTACTTTCTCTAAACTCTTAACATGTTTTTACTAACAGAAAAATGAGCAGCTTAAGTTTTTTTTTAATAAATCATTGTCATATTTCTGTGATGGAAGATGCACAGATCGTAACAAAGCTGCAGGTGAGAAACCTCGAGGCTGAGCAGCGGAGTCGGGCACGAGGACCCGACTCTGAGCGTGCAGAACAAAAACAGGTGGGAGAAGAGGTGAGCCGGGAGCTAATGAGAGTGTGAACACAGAAAACATTTAAGACGTCCGCAGGAGACAACTGGAAGATGATTGAAATTTACAAGATTAGGGATGAGATCATCAGAGGTACAGCACAGGTTGAACAACTGGGAGATAAAGCTGGTTTTCTACAACCAGGAGCAGCTGATTAACATCTCAAAAACTCAAATAACATCTCAACTACAGCCCCAAATCTCATATGAATTGGAAAGGTGGTGCCGTGGATGCATTCCCATCTACCTGCCGGCTGTGCTCAAGTGCCTGACCACAGAGATCCTGGAGCTGGCAGGAAACACGGCTCGTGACAGCAGAAGGATCGGGGTCGTCCCCTGGCCGGCTGTATGCAGCGACGAGGAGCTCGACAGGCTGCTGGAAGGAGCAGTCGTTGCTCCGGGAGGAGGTCAGTCCTGCATTTGGGTGGTCCTGCAGCCCGGGGGGACTGATGGGCCAGTTGAGTCTGGGTGGACGGATCAGACGACATCTGCGGCCAGCTGTGGGATGGACCTTCCTGCCTACAGCTATCAATATCTATAGCATCTCTTAATGAAATGAGGATAACGTTACAACATTTAATTTCCCTTTGGGATTAATAAAGTATTTTTGAATTGAATTGAATAGTTATTTATGTTAGCTCCGCCCCCTCAGTCACTCTGACTTGTTCTTCTGTAGCGTTGGTCGTTGATGTTTTACCTGTTGGAGCAGCGCTGTCGGACTGAACACCTGCAGATAGAAATGGTTTCACAAAAACGTTGCCAACCAAGGTTGGAGTGGCCGGCGGGGGACTAAGGATGTCAAAGGCCACCAATGGCCACCCCCTGGCTTCTCCACTGGCTGGTGCTGCTCATGATTAGCTGTTGTTTCTGATGTGCAGCTGGACACATCTCCTGTTTGTGCTTTTTAAAGCCAGTTTTATTTTATTTTTTTAATTGTCTCTTTATTTCCACAGAGCCCTAACAGTCTCTATTTTGTTCTTAATGTGAGATTTGAACAACAATAAATCTGAAATCTGAACGGGCTGGGGTGATTAGTAAATGAGAACAGCTGGGATAATTACGCTTTGTTCACAGGTGAGTAACGAGCAGGAAACAGGAAGCTGAAACTGCCAGAAACACAAAATAACAACAAAAAAGAAAGAAAGCAGAACATGTGGATACATAAATTAAAACGCAGAGATTACTAATAATAAATAATAATAATAATACATTTTATTTGTACAGCGCTTTTCTAAATACTCAGCCGCTTTTCACGAGTTAAAAATATATTAAATCAACAATACATAACACAGAAAAACACAGTAAAACATATAAAAAGGGTTAATTTAAACATTAAAAGTAATTTTAAATAATTTTAACAGAAATGAACCTAGAAAATCAAATCAACAAGACACAAAAAGTAGGAAAAAACTGTTTTTAATTGCACTTCTTTTTATCTTTTAATTGTTTTTTTTTTTACAGTTTAGACTCAAACTGGTGATGAGCTGCATCGTCACATTATTACTGACAGTTTCTGTTATTTACAGCATAAACAATATTAAATTAAATACAGCGTTTGAACGTCAGAGCTAAAAGTCAAAGAATGTGCCTTACTCAAATTAAAATTAACTTTAATTTAAAACGTGATAGTTTTTGTAAACTTCTTGAAGAGAGGGAAATGTGGGAGGCTGCTGTAGAAATAACTCCACAAGCGTTCACGTCTTTGGACGTTTTATTTGAGATAAAACCTCAAACATTTCATGAGATTCAAACTCGACGTTCAGCAGAGGATCAGGACAGCAGAGGGAGCTGCAGACTGAGTCGTCAGACACTAAAAGTGAAGCTGCTGATGAATGTTGCAGATTTAAATTACATTTTCTTTACAATACGAGGATAAGTTCCCAATGAATAAACTTTAATTATTTCACATATTCAGCTTGAACTGGACACAAAGATCAGGTGTTGGAGAAGAGAGGTGTAACTCTTAAAATGAGACTTTACTTCATGCTTCTGTCTTCGGTCCTGAATGTTGACATCATTTTAAACTCCTTTTGTAAAAGTGCTCGTTACAAAAAATGAAACCAATCACAAAAAGTTTATCTTGAACTGAATCAAACGGTGCAGTTTCAACTCTGGTAGTTTTCCAGCTGTGTTACAACGCAAGTCTGAAATGTGGGTACGCACTTGATGTAAACAAAACGCTCGAATGAATCTGGAAAAAAACCGTGCATAGTCCTTTCAAGAATAAACGTCTGGGAGATTCAAACACGCGCAGCTTCCCCAAAACTTCTGATCACTTTATCGTTTCAATCTGACCAATCTCTTCATTTTTGTACCTTACTTGACAAATCTGAGAGTAAATAAAAATAAATAAATAAAATCTGAGAGTAAATATGTACAAAAACATCAAACGTGTCTAACTTCTTAATCCCAAACGAATCTTCCACAGACGTCCTGTTTTCAGCCACTTCGGCTGATTGTAGCTGATTTTTTTTATTGTTCTGTAGAATCAGCCACGAGTCCACACTGGACAAATATAAATAGAGAAATTGCATTTCCTGCAAAAATGCAGTGTAAATACTTATTGCTAAAGAACTTGCCGAAAAACAGCTGAAATTAGCAAATCAACAGGCTGAAATGTAGCTGACATGGAAGAACAAGCCTAAATTAGTTGAAGAAAGCATAAATAACACATATTTGCTGGACTAAATAAGCAGAAATGAGCACAAAAATTAGGAAATAAGCTTAAAAAAGCTGAAATTATCAAAATATTGCTGAAAAGGCAGAAAGAAGCTTAAACTATAGTGAAAGAGCTCAAATGAGCTAAAACAAAAAAGTTGAAATAGCTGAAAAAGCTCAAATTAACATAAAAATAACTAAATTTTCATTCGGCCTCGGGTTAAACCCAGTGAGCCTAAACAGCAGCTGAAATAGCAGAAAAAGCTGAAACTAGCAGAAAAAAAGCTGAAAGGAGCATAACTATCTGAAATTAGCAAAAATAAGTTAATTAGGCTGAAAGTAGCAGAAATTACCACGAAAAACTGGAATTTATCTGAAAACAGCTTAAATTAGCTTAAAATGCTAAAAATCTACCTGAAATGGTAGAATAGGCTTAAATTAGCAGAAGAAAGCAGAAAGAGCATGTTTGCCCAATTATGCTGAACAGAGCAAAAAATATCACAAAAAAGTGGAAATTATCTGAAAAAAGCTGAAATGAGTAAAAACCAACAGAAAAGTAGCTAAAAAAAAAAACAGGAATAAGCTTAATTTATCAGAAGGATGTGGAGAGAGCACATTTTTGCTGAATTAGGCTGAAAAAGTTTAAATGAGTGCAATAAATGTGGAATTAGCTCAAAAGGAAAAAAACTGCATGAAAACAGCTAAACAGTAGCTGAAATTGTAGAAAAAGCTTAAACTTGCAGAAATAAGATGAAAGGAGCATAATAAGCTGAATTTAGCAGAAAGAAGTTAGAAGCACAAAATGTTGTACTTAGCATAAATAATTTGAAAGGTGCACAAAACAGCTGAAAAACAGCTGAAATTAGCTGAAATTAGCTGGAAAAATGTTTAAATTTACACAAAGAAGCAGAAAGAAGTTAAAGCAGAACAAAACATGAAAGGAGAAGTAAAAGGTTGTAACAGATCTAAAGATCTGAAGGATGTAAAATGAGCTCAATTCATTTTCTGAGACAAAAAAATGTCAGAAAAGGCTAAATGTTTCAAAAAGCTAAAGTTGCACCAATACCAACGGTCACAGCAAGATTGTCCTGAACGAGCCGAACGTTTTGATTCATGATTTGTTGAAATAGAACAAAAGTTGTGGAACGAGAAAGATGCTGAGAAACGTACGAAACAAAACTGGATCACAACAGAGTGAATGCTTCATAAACGTTCACACGGTAAAAGTGTAGCTCGTTCTGGAGGAATGCTTATCGCCCGCCCAGTTTCATGTCAGACTTTTACACCAAGATCACGTCGTGCTGAGAAACGTACGAAACCAAACTGGATCACAACAGAGTGAATGCTTCATAAACGTTCACAGACTTTTACACCAAGATCACGTCGTGCTGAGAAACAATGGAGTTCTGGCTGTTTTGGTCAAACCTTTAAAAACGACGTTAAACGACGTCTAATGCAACGTTACGACGTTTCATGGTCAGAGTAAACTTTGTAGACGACTCTCAGCTACTACCACGTCAAATTTTAGCTCAGCGCCTGTAAACTGGACCAAGCTCCGGCCATTTGTTGGTCTTCTAGGGTCAGTTGGCTGTGGTGGCCATCTTGAACCGAGTTAGCTCCAAAAGTTCATACGTCATGAAAGTGCATCTGACAATTGTTGAGATGTGACCCATGAGATATTTTGCTGACGGAGTCGTAATTTCCATCTTTTGTGCAGACAGCGACTCTGGAGGCAGAAAAGTGAAGAAGAATTTGACTAAAACAGAGGAAGCTGCAGAAACAGGAAGTCCAAAAACAGAAATATGAGGCGAGCTGTGGTCGGCCGAAACAAACCATTTACACATGAGTCTGTCTGTCTGTGTCTGTCTGTCTATCTATCTGTCTGTGTCTGTCTGTGTCTGTCTGTCTGTCTATCTGTGTCAGTCTGTCTATCTATCTGTCTGTGTCTGTCTGTCTGTCTATCTGTCTATCTGACTGACTGACTGTCTGTCTGTCTGTGTCTTTCTGTCTGTGTCAGTCTGTCTATCTATCTATCTATCTATCTATCTATCTATCTATCTATCTATCTATCTATCTATCTATCTATCTATCTATCTATCTATCTATCTATCTATCTATCTATCTATCTATCTATCTATCTATCTATCTATCTGTCTATCTATCTATCTGTCTGTCTGTCTGTCTGTCTGTCTGTCTGTCTGTGTCTGTCTGTCTGTCTGTCTATCTTACTGTCTGTCTGTCTGTCTATCTGACTGACTGTCTGTCTGTCTGTTTGAATGTCTGTCTGTGTCTGTTCGTCTGTCTGTCTGTGTCTATCTGTCTGACTGTCTGTCTGTCTATCTGACTGACTGTCTGTCTGTCTGTTTGAATGTCTGTCTGTCTGTGTCAGTCTGTGTCTGTCTGTCTATCTGACTGTCTGTTTGACTGTCTGTCTGTGTCTGTTTGTCTGTCTGTCTGACTGACTGACTGTCTGTCTGTCTGTCTGTGTCAGTCTGTCTCTGTGTGTGCCCGTGTCTGTCTGTCTGACTGACTGTCTCTCTGTCTGTCTGTGTCAGTCTGTGTCTGTCTGTCTGTCTAACTGTCTGTTTGACTGTCTGTCTGACTGACTGTCTCTCTGTCTGTTTGTGTCAGTCTGTGTCTGTCTGTTTGACTGTCTGTCTGTATGTCTGTCTATCTGATTGTATGACTGACTGTCTG